CACACCGACACAGCTACTACACACACTGACACAGCTACTACACACACCGACACAGCTACTACACACACTGACACAGCTGCTACACACACTGACACAGCAGGTACACACACTGACACACTACACACACTGACACAGCTACTACACACACTGACACAGCTGCTACACACTGACACAGCTGCTACACACACCGACACAGCAGGTACACACTGACACAGCTACTACACACACTGACACAGCTGCTACACACACTGACACAGCTGCTACACACACTGACACAGCTACACACACTGACACAGCAGCTACCCACATGACACAGCTGCTACACACACTGACACAGCTGCTACACACACTGACACAGCTGCTACACACCGACACAGCTACTACACACACTGACACGGCTACTACACACAGACACAGCTGCTACACACTGACACAGCTGCTACACACACTGACACAGCTGCTACACACACCGACACAGCAGGTACACACACTGACACAGCTACTACACACACTGACACAGCTGCTACACACACTGACACAGCTGCTACACACACTGACACAGCTACACACACTGACACAGCTACTACACACACTGACACAGCTGCTACACACTGACACAGCTGCTACACACTGACACAGCTACTACACACACTGACACAGCTACTACACACACTGACACAGCTACTACACACACTGACACAGCTACTACACACACTGACACAGCTGCTACACACACTGACACAGCTGCTACACACACTGACACAGCTACTACACACACTGACACAGCTACACACACAACACAGCTACTACACACACTGACACAGCTACACACACTGACACAGCTACACACACACTGACACAGCTACTACACACACTGACACAGCTACACACACTGACACAGCTACTACACACACTGACACAGCTACTACACACTGACACAGTGTATAGTGTAGTGTATAGTAGTATAAGTAGTGTATAGTGTAGTGTATAGTGTAGTGTATAGTAGTGTAGTGTATAGTGTAGTAGTGTATAGTGTAGTGTATAGTGTAGTGTATAGTAGTTTAGTGTATGTGTATAGGTATAGTAGTGTAGTGTATAGTGTAGTGTATAGTGTGTATAGTGTATGTAGTGTATAGTGTATAGTAGTGTATAGTGTAGTGTATAGCGTAGTGTATAGTGTAGTGTATAGTGTAGTGTATAGTGTAGTGTAGTAGTGTATAGTGTAGTGTTTAGTAGTATAGTGTAGTGTATAGTGTAGTGTATATTGTAGTGTATAGTGTAGTGTATAGTAGTGTATAGTGTAGTGTGTAGTGTAGTGTATAGTGTAGTGTATAGTGTAGTGTATAGTGTAGTGTATAGTGTAGTGTAGTGTATAGTGTATTGTAGTGTGTAGTGTAGTGTGTAGTGTAGTAGTGTATAGTGTAGTGTATAGTAGTGTATCGTATAGTAGTGTATAGTGTAGTGTATAGTGTAGTGTATAATAGTGTATAGTGTAGTATAGTAGTGTAGTGTATAGTAGTGTATAGTGTAGTATATAGTGTATAGTGTAGTGTAGTGTAGTAGTGTTAGTGTAGTGTTTGTAGTGTATAGTGTAGTGTATAGTAGTGTATAGTGTAGTGTATAGTAGTGTATAGTAGTGTATAGTGTAGTGTATAGTAGTGTAGTGTATAGTGTAGTAGTGTATAGTGTAGTGTATAGTAGTGTATCGTATAGTAGTGTATAGTGTAGTGTATAGTGTAGTGTATAATAGTGTATAGTTTGTAGTAGTGTGTGTATAGTGTAGTGTATAGTAGTGTATAGTGTGTATAGTGTGTAGTGTATAGTGTAGTGTTTAGTAGTGTATAGTGTAGTGTATAGTAGTGTATAGTGTAGTGTATAGTAGTGTATAGTGTGTAGTGTATAGTGTAGTGCATAGTAGTGTATAGTGTAGTGTATAGTGTAGTGTATAGTAGTGTATGTATGTAGTGTATAGTGTAGTGTATAGTGTAGTGTATAGTGTAGTGTATAGTGTAGTGCATAGTAGTGTAGTGTATAGTATGTATGTAGTGGAGCGATTAGTCGTTAACAGGGCCTAAGTCGCGGAGTGTCCCTGCTGCATCACAGCTCTCGAGCGAGCTGTGCACGCCGACGTCCCCACGACGTCCCCACGACGTCCACGTGCTCCCGTCATCACCCCCCCCCCCCTCCCCACCAGGTGGAGCGCAAGCGGCACATCGCAACGACATCGTCACCATCGTGTTCCAGGAGGGCGAGGAGTCGTGTGTGTCCTTCAAGCCCTCCATGATCCGCTCGCATTTCACGCGTATCCACTCCCCTGCCGTCACGCGCACGCACACGCACACACATACACACACGTGCACACACGGTCACACACGTGCACACGCACACACCACACACGCACACACACACACGCGCACACCACACACGCACACACACACACGCACACGCACACACACGTGCACACGTACATACGCGTGTGTACACGTACACACACGTGTACACGTACACGCGCGTATCCACTCCCCGCCGGCACGCGCACACACACACGCGTGCACACACACATGCACACAGACACACACACGCACACCACGCACACACACGCACACGCATGCACACACGCACACGCGCACACACACACGCACACACGCACACACACACATACGCACACACACACAGCACACACACACGCACACACACATACGCACACACGCACACGCATACACACACGCATACACACACGCACACACACACGCACACACACGCACACACACACACCACATGCGCGCACGCGCGCACACACATACGCACACACGCACACACGCGCACACGCGCACACACAACGCATGCACACGTACACACATGCACACCCGTGTATTATCCCCTCCGTCACGCGCACACACACACATATACACGCACACGCACACACACACACACTCACACATGTACACACACACACACGCACACACGCACACACGCACTCACACACACCACGCACACACGCGCACAACACACGCACACACACGTACACACGCGTTGCGGACGCGTAACACACAGCGCACACCACACACACGCACAACACACACGCACACACACACGTACTCACACACTGCACACACACGTGTATTTGTCCTTAACGTTCGCGACGGCCAAGACATCTTTGCCTTGGTGAGGTTCAACAGAGCCACGACAGCTTACAGGTACCACCACCGCACGGTTGCTGCGTGTCTGTGCGTCACCTGTGCACGTGCACTCCGTGAGTGGGCGTGATGTGAGTGTGAGTTAGCGTGCGTGCATGAGGTGTGCCGTGAGTGAGTGGGTGAAATGAGTGTGAGTGACTGATGGAGTGTGAGTGACCTGAGTGAGTGTGTGTAAGCGTGTAAGCGTGTGAGGAGTGAGTGTGCGTGCGTACGTGTGTGTGTGAGTGACTGAGTGTGTCTGTGTTAAGTGAGTGTGTTTGTGACTCGCCCCGCGTGTTCCCGCTGCAAGGCTCGTATCTTCTCCGAGGGAGCGAGAGTGAGTGAGTGTGAGTGAGTGTGTGACTGAGTGAGTGTGTGCGTGAGTGAGTGAGCGTGAGTGAGTGAGAGTGAGCGTGTGTGAGTGAGTGTGTGACTGAGTGAGTGTGACTGAGTGTGTGTGAGTGAGCGTGAGTGAGTGTGAGTGAGTGTGTGACTGAGTGAGTGTGTGCGTCAGTGAGTGAGCGTGAGTGAGAGAGCGAGAGTGAGTGAGTGTGAGTGAGTGTGTGACTGAGTGAGTGTGACTGAGTGTGTGTGAGTGAGCGTGAGTGATTGAGTGAGTGTTAGTGAGTGTGAGTGACTGTGAGTGTGCGTGCGTGACTGAGTGAGTGAGTGAGTGACTGACTGAGTGAGTGACTGAGTGAGTGAGTGACTGAGTGAGTGAGTGACTGACTGAGTGAGTGACTGAGTGACTGAGTGACTGTGTGTGAGTGAGTGTGAGTGACTGAGTGTGTGTGTGACTCGCCCTATACGCAGGCTGCGCGTCTTCTCCGAGGAGAGCGTGCGTGAGTGAGAGTGTGTGAGTGTGTGTGTGAGTGACTGAGTGACTGAGTAAGTGTGTGTGTGAGTGACTGAGTGACTGAGTAAGTGTGTGTGTGAGTGACTGAGTGACTGAGGTGAGTGTGTGTGTGAGTGACTGAGTGACTGAGTAAGTGTGTGTGTGACTGAGTGACTGAGTGAGTGTGTGTGTGAGTGACTGAGTGACTGAGTGAGTGTGTGTGTGAGTGACTGAGTGACTGAGTAAGTGTGTGTGTGTGACTGAGTGACTGAGTAAGTGTGTGTGTGAGTGACTGAGTGACTGAGTGAGTGTGTGTGTGACTGAGTGGACTGAGTAAGTGTGTGTGTGAGTGACTGAGTGACTGAGTAAGTGTGTGTGTGACTGAGTGACTGAGTAAGTGTGTGTGTGAGTGACTGAGTGACTGAGTGAGTGAGTGTGTGTGTGACTGAGTGACTGAGTAGTGTGTGTGAGTGACTGAGTGACTGAGTGAGTGTGTGTGTGAGTGACTGAGTGACTGAGTGAGTGAGTGACTGAGTGACTGAGTAAGTGTGTGTGACTCTCCCACTGCAGACTGCGCATCTTCTCCGAGCAGAGCGTGAGTGTTAGTGTGTGAGTGACTGAGTGAGTGAGTGAGTGACTGAGTGAGTGTGTGAGTGTGAGTGTAAGTGAGTGTGTTGTGTGAGTGAGTGAGTGACTGAGTGAGTGACTCACCCTATACGCAGGCTACGCATCTTCTCCGAGGAGAGCGTGAGTGAGTGAGTGTTAGTGAGTGACTGAGTGACTGAGTAAGTGTGTGTGTGACTGATTGACTGAGTAAGTGTGTGTGTGAGTGACTGAGTGAGTGTGTGTGTGAGTGACTGAGTGACTGAGTAAGTGTGTGTGTGAGTGACTGAGTGGCTGAGTGAGTGAGTGAGTGACTGAGTGACTGAGTGAGTGTTGTGTGTGTGAGTGACTGAGTGACTGAGTAGGTGTGTGTGACTCTCCCACTGCAGACTACGCATCTTCTCCGAGGAGAGCGTGAGTGTTAGTGTGTGAGTGACTGAGTGAGTGACTGAGTAGTGTGTGAGTGTGAGTGTAAGTGAGTGTGTGAGTGAGTGAGTGACTGAGTGAGTGACTGAGTAAGTGTGTGTGTGACTCTCCCACTGCAGACTACGCATCTTCTCCGAGGAGAGCGTGCCGCTGTTTGGGCCCCCGCTGCCCACTCCGCCGGTGTTCACCGACCACCACGAGTTCCGGGACTTCCTCCTCGTCAAGCGTGAGTCGATCCCCCATGCCCCTGCCCCAACAGGCTGTTAAGGCTACACGGGAGATCTTTGTCTCTGTGCGTGCGTGTTCACGTGCGTGTGCGGCAGAGGTCGCAACCGGGTACCCGATACCCGTACCCTACCCGATACCCGGCTACCCGTACCCGGCCGGGTACGGGTACGGGTAGCCGTTTGCGACCCTGGTGCGGCCGGGTACGGGTACGGGTAGACCGTGAGTCACTGGTGAGTCACCGTTTGTCACTCATTTCGGGTAGGGTACGGGTACGGGTAGGGAACGGGTACCCTACCCGACTGGGTACGGTACCCATTTGCGACCCTGGTGCGGCCGGGTACGGGTAAGGAATCAAAACCCGTTTGCGCCCTCTGGTGTGCGTGTGTGCACGTGCGCGTGTGTGTCTGTGTGCGTGCGTGTGGGGAGCGGTGGTGCAGCGGTTAACGCGCTGCGCTATGAACCTGGCGACCCGGGTTCGATTCCCGCTCACGGCCAACACCCACAGTGGCGATCATCTGAACCGGTACCGGGCCTCCCCTAGGTCGACTCAGCCTCAAATGAGTACCTGGTACGGTGTGTAAACATCGCAACTGGGGGAGACAAAGGCGGTCGGGCGTGGTGCTGGCCATCCACCCCCTCGTGTACCGTTCCGGCCTTCATAGGTGCTACTCGCTAACAGCACTTGCCCCTACAGTCTGTTAAGGCTATACGGGGGATTTTTGTCTTTTGTGTGCGCATGCGTGTGTACATGTGTGTGTGTGTGTGCGTGTGTGCGTGTGCGTGTGCCCGACTTTCGCCGCAGTGATCAACGGAGAGAAAGCCACTCTGGAAACGCCGACATTTGCGCAGAAACGCCAGCGGACGCTGGACATGCTGATACGCTCCATGTACCAGGACTACACTCCCGACCTCTACAAGGTGAGAGCGAGAGTCAAGCCGAGGAGGAGGAGGCCTCAACCCCCTACCGGGACATGTGAAGAGCTCTACGGCTCATCGGATTCCTCCCGCAGCGTCAAATAAATGTTCCGATTCTGGCTCGGCACGTGGATGAGCGGAGACGCGCGTGGGTGACGCGGTGAACGAGCGGAGGTAGGTGTGGGTGACGCGGTGAGCGAGCGGAGGCAGGCGTGGGTGACGCGGTGAGCGAGCGGAGGCAGGTGTGGGTGACGCAGTGAGCGAGCGGAGACAGGCGTGGGTGACACAGTGAGCGAGCGGAGGCAGGTGTGGGTGACGCAGTGAGCGAGCGGAGACAGGCGTGGGTGACACAGTGAGCGAGCGAGACAGCGTGGGTGACACAGTGAGCGAGCGGAGACAGGGCGTGGGTGACGCGGTGAGCGAGCGGAGGCAGGTGTGGGTTACGCAGTGAGCGAGCAGAGACAGGCGTGGGTGACACAGTGAGCGAGCGGAGACAGGCGTGGGTGACGCAGTGAGCGAGCAGAGGCAGGTGTGGGTGACGCAGTGAGCGAGGCGGAGGCAGGCGTGGGTGACACGGGTGAGCGAGCGGAGGCAGGTGTGGGTGACGCAGTGAGCGAGCGTGAGACAGGCGTGGTTGACACAGTGAGCGAGCGGAGACAGGCGTGGGTGACGCAGTGAGCGAGCAGAGGCAGGTGTGGGTGACAGCAGTGAGCGAGCGAGACAGGCGTGGGTGACGCAGTGAGCGAGCGGAGACAGGCGTGGTGACGCAGTGAGCGAGCAGAGGCAGGTGTGGGTGACACAGTGAGCGGAGCGGAGGCAGGCGTGGGTGACACGGTGAGCGAGGCGGAGGCAGGTTTGGGGTGACGCAGTGAGCGAGCGGAGACAGGCGTGGTTGACACAGTGAGCGAGCGGAGACAGGCGTGGGTGACGCGGTGAGCGAGTGGAGGCACGCGTGGGTGACGCTGTGAACGAGTGGAGGCACGCGTGGGTGACGCTGTGAACGAGCGGAGGCACGCGTGGGTGACGCTGTGAACGAGCGGAGGCACGCGTGGGTGACGCTGTGACGAAGCGTCACCCACCACGCCTACCCACCGAGGTCACGCACGCGCGTGGCGAACGATTCCATTAGCTCCGTGGCCTGGCCCTGCTTGGCCCTGACCGTTAGCTCCCAGCTTGGCTCGGTAACCAGCCCTGTGGTGGGACACAAAACAACAATAAATATAATTATGTATAAATATAATTACGTATAAATATAATTATACACAAATATATATTATTTAATATATACACAAATAGATGAGTCGATTGAAAAAGCCCAGAATGCCGTGGGGCATGGGCCGGTGGGAAAATGTCGGCGCGGCGAAATCGAAGACACCGTCGCCTCTCACCACTCACCCACCACTCACCCTCACCACTCACTCACCACTCACCCTCACCACTCACCCTCACCACTCACTCACCACTCACCCTCACCACTCACCCTCACCACTCACCCTCACCACTCACTCACCACTCACTCACCACTCACCCTCACCACTCACCCTCACCACTCACTCACCACTCACTCACCACTCACCCTCACCACTCACCCTCACCACTCACCCTCACCACTCACTCACCACTCACCCTCACCACTCACCCTCACCACTCACCCTCACCACTCACCCACCACTCACTCACCACTCACTCACCACTCACCCTCACCACTCACTCACCACTCACCCTCACCACTCACACCACCACTCACCCACCACTCACTCACCACTCACCCTCACCACTCACTCACCACTCAACCTCGCCACTCACTCACCACTCACTCACCACTCACCCTCACACTCCTCACCACTCACCCTCAACCACTCACCCTCACCACTCACCCTCACCACTCACCCCTCACCCTCACCACTCACCCTCACCACCCCCTGCTCACCCTCACCACTCACCCTCACCACCACTCACCATTGACACTCACCCTCACCACTCACCCTCACCACTCACCCTCACCACTCACCACTCACCCTCACCACTCACTCACCACTCACCCTCACCACTCACTCACCCTCACCACTCACCCACCACTCACCCTCACCACTCACCCTCACCACTCACCCTCACCACTCACCCACCACTCACCCACCACTCACCCTCACCACTCACCCCCACTCCTCACCACTCACCCTCACCACTCACACCACCACTCACTCACCACTCACCCACCACTCACCCTCACCACTCACCCTCACCACTCACCCTCACCACTCACCCTCACCACTCACCCAGCCACTCACATCACTCACTCACTCACCACTCACCCCACTCACGCCACTCACGCACCACTCACCACTCACACTCCACCACTCACCACTCACCCACCACTCCTCACCACGTCACCCACCACTCACCACTCACCCTCACCACTCACCCTCACCACTCACCCACCACTCAACCCTCACCACTCACCATCACCACTCACCCCCTCACCACTCACCCTCACCACTCACCCTCACCACTCACCTCACACCACTCACCACTCACCCCACTCACCCTCACCACTCACCCTCACCACTCACACTCACCACTCACTCACCACTCACCCTCACCACTCACCCTCACCACTCACCCTCACCACTCACTCACCACTCACCCTCACCACTCACCCTCACCACTCACACTCACCACTCACCCTCACCACTCACCCTCACCACTCACACTCACCACTCACCCTCACCACTCCACCCTCACCACTCAACCCTCACCACTCACACTCACCACTCACTCACCACTCACCCTCACCACTCACCCTCACCACTCACCCTCACCACTCACTCACCACTCACCCTCACCACTCACGTCACCACTCACACTCACCACTCACCCTCACCAATCACTCACCACTCACCCTCACCACTCACACTCACCACTCACCCTCACCACTCACTCACCACTCACTCACCCTCACCACTCACTCACTACTCACCCTCACCACTCACTCACCCTCACCACTCACTCACCCTCACCACTCACTCACCACTCACCCTCACCACTCACTCAACCCTCACCACTCACTCACCACTCACCCTCACCACTCACTCACCACTCACCCTCACCACTCACTCACCACTCACCCTCACCACTCACCCTCACCACTCACTCACCCTCACCACTCACTCACCACTCACTCACCACTCACCCTCACCACTCACCCTCACCACTCACTCACCCTCACCACTCACTCACCACTCACTCACCACTCACTCACCACTCACCCTCACCACTCACCCTCACCACTCACTCACCACTCACTCACCCTCACCACTCACTCACCACTCACCCTCACCACTCACTCACCCTCACCACTCACTCACTCACTCACCCTCACCACTCACTCCCTCTCCCTCTCTCTAGAACATGCTGAACCGCCGCTCTCTGAGTGACGTGCTGCCCGAGTCGCCGCGCTCGGCGAGGAAGAAGGAGGAAGCACGCCGGGCGGAGTTCGTCCGCGTTGGGCAGGTGGGCAACCCCCCACCACCACCCCCCCACCACCCCCACTACCCCCCCCCCCCACCATCACCACCCCCCCCCCCACCAACCCCCCCCCCCACCCCTCCACCCCCACCACCATCCCCCTCCACCTCACCACCCCCCTACCACCACCCCCCCACCACCCCCCCCACCACCATCCCCCTCCACCTCACCACCCCCCTACCACCACCCCCACCACCACCACCCCCCCCACCACCCCCACTACCCCCCCCTCCACCATCACCACCCCCCCCCCACCAACCCCCCCCCCACCCCTCCACCCCCACCACCATCCCCCTCCACCTCACCACCCCCCTACCACCACCCCCCACCCACCACCACCCCCCCACCACCCCCCCCCACCACCATCCCCCTCCACCTCACCACCCCCCTACCACCACCCCCCACCACCACCACCCCCCACCACCCCCACTACCCCCCCCTCCACCATCACCACCCCCCCCCCACCACCCCCCCCCCACCCCTCCACCCCCACCACCATCCCCCTCCACCTCACCACCCCCCTACCACCACCCCCCACCCACCACCACCCCCCCACCACCCCCCCCACCACCATCCCCCTCCACCTCACCACCCCCCTACCACCACCCCCCACCACCACCACCCCCCCCACCACCCCCACTACCCCCCCCTCCACCATCACCACCCCCCCCCCACCAACCCCCCCCCCACCCCTCCACCCCCACCACCATCCCCCTCCACCTCACCACCCCCCTACCACCACCCCCCACCCACCACCACCCCCCCACCACCCCCCCACCACCATCCCCCTCCACCTCACCACCCCCCTACCACCACCCCCCACCACCACCACCCCCCCACCACCCCCCCCACCACCATCCCCCTCCACCTCACCACCCCCCTACCACCACCCCCCACCACCACCACCCAACCACCCCCCCCACCACCCCCTTCACCACCACCCCACCACCCCCCCCACCACCCCACCACCACCCCCCCACCACCACCCCCTACCAACCCCCCCCCACCACCCCCCCCACCACCCCCCCCACCACCCCCCCCACCACACCCCCCACCACACCCCCCACCCGGCCCCCACACGACTCACCACGTGGGGGGCTGCCCCCCCCCGTACGCTCGAGGAACTCCGGCCCCGCGTCCGACTTCGCAGTCGCGGCCGTCGGGCAAATGCTTGTTGATAATTGATAATTGGTTTCGATTTAAAGCTTTCGTGACGTAGAAGGGAAATAATAAAATAATAAAAATAAACATAATATTATATTACTTTATTACGTTTTATATTGTCATTATTTTATTATTTCCTTTCTACGTGACATTACCGAAAGAACCAAGAAGATGATAATTGGTTTTTTACCCTTCTATCTGGCAACAAAACTGACACCTTTTTACAAGGAGTCATGTTTGCATAGACCACAATACCTGCGGTCGTAATGCAAACAAAAAACATAACTCTGATAATGTATGCACTGTCCTTGAAGTTGATTGGTCCACACCCGAGACAGCTTTCCTTAGAGCCTAGTCTCACATGGGTTGGACCAGATGACGCCAAAAGGCGCACAACTCAAAGACAATGCACCATCAGAGTATGAGAGCTCGAGGTGCAATTGCTTGTTGTTGATGGTTGTTGTTTGATGGTTGTTGTTGTTGTTGTTTGGTTGTTGTGTAGGCGCTAAAGCTGAAGACGATCGTGCGCGGGGACGCCCCGACGAGTCTGGCGACGACAGGGCTGTGCAGGAAGGAGGTGAGCGAGACCCGTCGCAGTCAAAGGCTCTAATCCCACTCCCCTCGAGTTGAGCAGCACGTGGAGATGGAATGTGACAATCGTTGCTGACGCTGATTGGTCCACACCAGAGACGGCGGCCATCTTCTTTAGTGGACCAATCAGTCTCAGCGACAATGCCACTCACTCACGCTCACTCACGCACGCACGCTCACTCACTCACTCACGCTCACTCACTCACGCTCGCACGCACGCTCACTCACTCACTCACGCTCACTCACTCACGCTCACTTACGCTCACGAGCACTCACTCACACTCACTCACTCACGCTCACTCACTCACTCAGGCTCACTCACTCACTCACGCACGCTCACTCAATCACGCTCACTCACGCTCACTCACTCACGCTCACTCACTCACGCTCACTCGCGATCACTCACTCATGCTCACTCACTCACTCATGCACGCTCACTCAGTCACGCTCACTCACGCTCACTCACTCACTCAATCACGCACGCTCACTCACTCACGCTCACTCACTCACGCTCACTCACTCACTCATGCACGCACGCTCACTCACTCACGCTCACTCACTCACTCACACTCACTCACTCACTCACACTCACTCACGCTCACTCACGCTCACTCACTCACGCTCACTCACTCACGCTCACTCGCGATCACTCACTCATGCTTACTCACTCACTCATGCACGCTCACTCAGTCACGCTCACTCACGCTCACTCGCGATCACTCACTCACGCTCACTCACTCAATCACGCACGCTCACTCACTCACGCTCACTCACTCACGCTCACTCACTCACTCATGCACGCACGCTCACTCACTCACGCTCACTCACTCACTCACACTCACTCACTCACACTCACTCACTCACGCTCACTCACTCACTCACACTCACTCATGCTCACTCACTCACGCTCACTCACTCATTCACGCTCACTCACTCTCACTCACACACGCTCACTTACACACACTCACTCACGCTCACTCACTCCCTCACTCACACTCACTCACACTCACTCCCTCACTCACACACTCATGCTCACTCACTCACTCACACTCACTCACTCCCTCACTCACTTACTCACTCATGCTCACTCACGCTCACTTACACACACTCACGCTCGCTCACTCACTCCCTCACTCACACTCACACTCACTCACTCCCTCACTCACTTACTCACTCATGCTCACTCACTCACGCTCACTCACTCACTCACGCTCACTCACGCTCACTCACTCACGCTCACTCACTCACTCACGCTCACTCACTCACGCTCACTCACACTCACTCACGCTCACTCACTCACGCTCACTCATTCACTCACGCTCACTCACGCTCACTCACTCATGCTCACTCACACTCACTCACGCTCACTCACTCACGCTCACTCACTCACTCACGCTCACTCACTCACTCACGCTCACTCACTCACACTCACTCACAGGTCTGTCGGAAAGACAGCGTCTGAATTCTTCACCTGAGGACGGCTGCTTGCGTTGTGGCCGAAACGTCGTGAGAATTTTATCTTATTATGTTTTATTTTTATTATTTTATTATTTCCCTTCTACGTGACTTTACCGAAAGAACCAAGAAGATGAAACAGATGCCTTTATCGAAGAATCGATATTCTGCATTTAAAACCGACTCGCACAGTGGAAGGGTACCTGACTGGGGGTCCCCGCCCCCCCCCCCCCCCCGATCGGGGACCCCGAATCCCGGGGGGCCACAGCTCCCCTGCTAGACAGGGGAGGATGTACACGGGGGGGGGGGGCGGGGGGCACGGGTGTCGCTGTGGACGCTAACCGCTGCACCACCGCTCCCTACACCTATATATAGACAACAACAAACCCCCGTTGACAACTTAGTAGCGGTGACGTCAACACGGCGCTTGTGCCAGGCTAGGTGCACTTCAAGGCCACGTGAAGTGTCGAACGCCCGCCGGCAGGAGGTCACGGGGCAGACCCAGCAGGTGCCGTGGGTCGACTGACCGAGATGACCGGCAGCTGTGTCAGTGTGTGTAGTAGCTGTGTCAGTGTGTGTACCTGCTGTGTCAGTGTGTGTAGTAGCTGTGTCAGTGTGTGTACCTGCTGTGTCAGTGTGTGTAGTAGCTGTGTCAGTGTGTGTAGTAGCTGTGTCAGTGTGTGTAGTAGCTGTGTCAGTGTGTGTAGCAGCTGTGTCAGTGTGTGTAGCAGCTGTGTCAGTGTGTGTACCTGTTGTCGGTTGTCCTTGGAGTACGGGAGCATGGTGGACACGTGGAACATGATCTCGTGCCCCTGGTAGATGGACACGGGTGTCGCTGTGGCGCGGCACCTGCAGGCGTCTTGCTCGCGATGCCGCTGACGGACCGGCCCTCCACCCCCACAGAGGGTAGCCCATCTATGGGGGGGGCAGTGGCGTCACCTAACCTTGACCTAACCTTGACCTAACCTTGACCTAACCTTGACCTAACCTCGACCTAACCTTGACCTAACCTCGACCTAACCTCGACCTACGGCCTCAACGTTGCGTTGGGGGGCTCCACCGTTGCCTGGGTAACCCGTCACGCGCCTCGCGAAAAACGAACGAAAATGAACGAGAATCACCCGAATGTGTTACCCGTGGCCTGACGCGTCTTTCTGCGAACGTCTCTCGGGTGACAACGTTGGAAAGCTCCCTGAGCACTTTCTCCGCGCGTGCATCGGGTCTCCTTCTTCGCAGACGGAGCGGGAAGGCGGCCGGGTGATGGTCGCGCATTATGCCGGACGAACGGCAGAGGTCGCAAACGGGTTTTGATTCCTTACCCGTACCCGGCCGCACCAGGATCGCAAACGGGTACCCGTACCCGTACCCTACCCAATACCCGGCTACCCGTACCCGGCCGGGTATCAGGTAGGGTACGGGTAAGGGTGCCCGATCGCGACCTCTGGGATGAAGCCGTGTTGCAGGCGCGGGTGGGTTGATTCTAGGAACTTGAATTGTGAGAAGAGACAAGACGTTGGGAAATGAGTGACAAACGGTTACTCACCAGTGACTCACGGCCTACCCGTACCCGTACCCGGCCGCACCAGGGTCGCAAACGGGTACCCGTACCCGGCCGGGTACGGGTAGCCGGGTATCGGGTAGGGTACGGGTATCGGGTACCAATGTAGTGACATAAGAAGGGAGGGGCTGCTGTAGGCACTGGGTTCCCAGGGGGTCCAGACGCTTTTAAGCCTTTTTGGCGCCGCCAACGGGGGGGGGGGCTGTGTGTGCTCTGTGGGATGTCTGGTGGCGCACACGGCCCCACCCCTCGTCGGACCAGGCATAAAAGGAGAGCTCCCTGGACGATCGGGGCCCAGTTGTAACTCAAGACCCAAGACCCACGACCAGCCATCTGAAGACCCTGTGAGGCTGTGAGAGCCAGCGCTGGGACTCTGGAACTCCCGACTCTACGACCTTGTGAGGGCGAGCGTAGCCAGAGTAGAGTATCTAGAGTATCTAGGCTGTGTAGCTAGGCTGTGTACCTAGGCTGTAACAGAGTATCAGGACTGTTGGAGTGTTGTATTGTAATAAAGAAGTTACATCTACAAGTGTCTCCGGAACCCGTTACACCCGGTTGCGACCTCTGACGAACGGTGGTCGGCTTGCGTTCATTGATGCGCTTGCCTCCCGCAGCCCTGGGAGCCTCAGTGCTACGGGCAGAACTTCCCGTACGAGGTGCACTGCGCCGACTCGTGGCGGAGCGGGCTGCTCGTCTCCACCGAGGCCGGCGTCCTGCTCCTCCACGGTACGCGGCGGTGGGGACGGCTCGACGCCACTGTCATCGCCACCGTCACCACCGTCACCACCGCTGCTACCATCACTACCGCCACTGCCACCGCCACCATCACCACCGCTACCATCACCACCGCTGCTACTATCGTTATCGCCACCGCTATCATCACCACCACCGCGCCACCGCCACCACCACCGCCGCTACCGTCACCACCACCGCTACCGTCACCACCGCCGCCACCGCTATTGCCACCATCACTGCCGCTACCATCACTACCGCCACCACCACCGTCACCACTGCCACCACCACCACTGCCGTTACCACCGCCACCACCGCTATTGCCACCAATGCCAACACCACCACTACCGTCACCACCGCCATCACCATCACTGCCTCCACTACCGCCACTACCACTGCCGCCACCACCGCCACCACCACCATCGCCAGAGCCAATGCGTTAACACCTTAGTCACTCGTATCAGATCACCTCAATAGGAGTTACCGCGACCCCCCGCGTCACCGCGACCCCCACGTGACTGTGACCCCACGTGACCGTGACCCCCTGCGTCACCGTGACCCCACGTGACCATGACCCCCGCGACCCCCACGTGACCGTGACCCCCCACGTCACCGTGACCCCGCGTCACCGTGACCCTACGTCACCGTGACCCCCACGTGACCGTGACCACCCACGTCACCGCGACCCCCACGTGACCGTGACCCCCCATGTCACCGTGACCCCGCGTCACCGTGACCCCCACGTGACTGTGACCACCCACGTCACCGCGACCACCCCGCGTTACACGCACGGACAGACAGAGCCGACGCCGTTAGCCCCTCCTCCTCGTGGACCCGGGGGCGTCGTTGGGAGCCCCCCTAACGCCGCCGCCGCGCTCCCCTCGCCCCCCCCCAGAGGGACAGCCGCCGCTGCCCGTGCTGGACCGCAGCTTCTCGGTGCGCCAGATGAACGTGATCGAGGCGCTGGACATGCTGGTGCTGCGCAACGAAAAGGGTGAGGAGGCACCACGCCACCGACACGCCATGGACACGCTAACTGTTAACTATTTGACGAGCTCCATTGGAACCTCATTTGCCAGTAAAAAATATGATAGTTGTTTTTTTTTACCCTTCCATCTGGCAACAAAACTGACAACTTTTTTTACAAGGAGTCTCTGTCGCTGTCTCTGTTGTGCGGCTGTCCCGTTCACCTGCCCATCTCTCTGCCCGCGTGCGTGCGTGTGTGTGTGTGTGTGCGTGTACGCGTGCGTGTGCGTCACAGGCAAGGAGTCACGTGTGTTCGTGTTCCGCCTGTCGGCCGTCTGGAAGTCGGTGGAGGAGCAGTCCGCGGTGCTCGGACGCGTCGAGTGCCGTGAGCACAAGCTGGAGAAGACCAAAGGTTGTCGGGGGTGGAAGAGGGCACGCACATACAAAGATAAAGATCCCCCGTATAGCCTTAACAGACTGTAGGGGCAAGTGCTGTTAGCGAGCACCTATGAAGGCCGGAACGGCACACGAGGGGGTGGGTGGCCAGCACCACGCCCGACCGCCTTTGTCTTCCCAGTGGCGATGTTTTACACACCGCACCGGGTACTCATTTAAGGCTGAGTCGACCTCGGGGAGGCCCTGGACCGGTTCAGATAATCGTCACTGGTGTTGGCCGTGGGCGGGAATCGAACTCGGGTCGCCAGGTTCATAGCGCAGCGCGCTAACCGCTACACTACCGCTCCCCACATACACACACACACACACGTATGCGCACACGCACATTCGCACGAACATACACACGCAACAACAACAACAACCGCCATTCGCTACTAAGTGGCGGTGATGTCACCACGACGCTTGTGCCAGGCCATGTGCACCTTGAGGCCACGTGAAGTGTCGAACGCCCGCTGGCAGGAGGTCACGGGGCAGACCCAGCAGGTGCCACGGGTCGACTGACTGAGACACACACACGCGCACGCGCACACTCACATACACCCTTCGTTGGCGCTCGCTAACAGCACTTGCCCCGACAGTCTGTTAAGGCTACACGGGGGATCTTTGTCTTTATTTGTGCATGTGTGTGTGTGCGTGCGCGCATGCGTGCGTGCGTGTGCGCGTGTGTGTGTGTGCGTGCGCGTGTGTGCGTGCGTACGTGTGTGCGTGTGCGTGCATGCGTGTGTGCGTGTGCGTGTGTGCGTGCGTGTGTGCGTGCGTACGTGTGTGTGCGCGTGCGTGCGTGTGCGTGTGTGCGCGTGTGTGTGTGTGCGTGTGTGCGTGCGTGTGTGCGTGCGTGCGTGTGTGCGTGTGTGCGCGTGTGTGCGTGTGCGTGCGTGTGCGTGCGTGCGTGCGTGTGTGTGTGTGCGTGTGTGCGTGCGTGCGTGCGCGTGTGTGCGTGCGTGCGTGTGTGTGCGTGCGTGTGTGCGTGCGTGTGTGCGTGTGTGTGCGTGCGTGTGTGCGTGCGTGTGTGCGTGTGTGTGTGTGCGTGTGTGCGTGCGTGCGCGTGTGTGCGTGCGTGTGCGTGCGTGTGCGTGCGTGCGTGTGTGTGGTGTGCGTGTCGTGGCGTGCGCGTGTGTGCGTGCGCGTGCGTGCGTGTGCGTGCGTGCGTGTGCGTGCGTGTGCGTGCGTGCGTGTGCGTGCGTGCGTGTGCGTGCGTGTGCGTGCGTGCGTGTGCGTGCGTGTGCGTGCGTGTGCGTGCGTGCGTGTGCGTGCGTGTGCGTGCGTGCGTGTGCGTGCGTGCGTGTGCGTGCGTGTGCGTGCGTGCGTGTGCGTGCGTGCGTGTGCGTGCGTGTGCGTGCGTGCGTGTGCGTGCGTGTGCGTGCGTGCGTGTGCGTGCGTGTGCGTGCGTGCGTGTGCGTGCGTGCGTGTGCGTGCGTGTGCGTGCGCGCGTGTGCGTGCGTGTGCGTGCGTGCGTGTGCGTGCGTGTGCGTGCGTGCGTGTGCGTGCGTGCGTGTGCGTGCGTGTGCGTGCGTGCGTGTGCGTGCGTGTGCGTGCGTGTGCGTGCGTGCGTGTGCGTGCGTGTGCGTGCGTGCGTGCAGGCTGCCACCTGTACGCCGTGAACACGCACAGTGCAGCAGGCACACTGCGCGTGGTGAGCGCCACGCGCTACAAGCTGCTGCTCGCCACGTGGAGGCGGCCGCCCGGCGGCGTGACGGCCGCCTCGCCCGTCGAGGAGTTCCAGTACATACGGGTGAGTTAGTCAGGTGACTGTCCTGTAGTACTGTCCTGTAGTATTGTCCTGTAGTACTGTCCTGTAGTACTGCCCTGTAGCGTAGTGCTGAGCGCTGAGTAGATACGGGTGAGTTAGTCAGAGTACTGTCCTGTAGTATTGTCCTGTAGTACTGTCCTGTAGCGTAGCGCTGAGCGCTGAGTAGATACGGGTGAGTTAGTCAGAGTACTGTCCTGTAGTACTGTCCTGTAGTACTGTCCTGTAGTACTGCCCTGTAGCGTAGTGCTGAGCGCTGAGTAGATACGGGTGAGTTAGTCAGAGTACTGTCCTGTAGTATTGTCCTGTAGTACTGTCCTGTAGCGTAGCGCTGAGCGCTGAGTAGATACGGGTGAGTTAGTCAGAGTACTGTCCTGTAGTACTGTCCTGTAGTACTGTCCTGTAGTACTGCCCTGTAGCGTAGTGCTGAGCGCTGAGTAGATACGGGTGAGTTAGTCAGAGTACTGTCCTGTAGTATTGTCCTGTAGTACTGTCCTGTAGCGTAGCGCTGAGCGCTGAGTAGATACGGGTGAGTTAGTCAGAGTACTGTCCTGTAGTACTGTCCTGTAGTACTGTCCTGTAGTACTGCCCTGTAGCGTAGTGCTGAGCGCTGAGTAGATACGGGTGAGTTAGTCAGAGTACTGTCCTGTAGTATTGTCCTGTAGTACTGTCCTGTAGCGTAGCGCTGAGCGCTGAGTAGATACGGGTGAGTTAGTCAGAGTACTGTCCTGTAGTACTGTCCTGTAGTACTGTCCTGTAGTACTGCCCTGTAGCGTAGTGCTGAGCGCTGAGTAGATACGGGTGAGTTAGTCAGAGTACTGTCCTGTAGTATTGTCCTGTAGTACTGTCCTGTAGCGTAGCGCTGAGCGCTGAGTAGATACGGGTGAGTTAGTCAGAGTACTGTCCTGTAGTACTGTCCTGTAGTACTGTCCTGTAGTACTGCCCTGTAGCGTAGCGCTGAGCGCTGAGTAGATACGGGTGAGTTAGTCAGAGTACTGTCCTGTAGTACTGCCCTGTAGCGTAGCGCTGAGCGCTGAGTAGATACGGGTGAGTTAGTCAGAGTACTGTCGTGTAGTACTGCCCTGTAGCGTAGTGCTGAGCGCTGAGTAGATACGGGTGAGTTAGTCAGAGTACTGTCCTGTAGTATTGTCCTGTAGCGTAGCGGAGTGCTGAGTAGATACGGGTGAGTTAGTCAGAGTACTGTCCTGTAGTACTGCCCTGTAGCGTAGTGAAGTTCCAGTACATACGGGTGAGTTAGTCAGAGTACTGTCCTGTAGCGTAGCAGAGTCCTGAGTAGATACGGGTGAGTTAGTCAGAGTACTGTCCTGTAGCGGAACGCTGAGTGGATATGGGTGAGTTTGTCAGGCGACTATCCTGTAGCATAGCGGAGCGCTGAGTGGATACGGGTGAGTGCAGCCGCTCTATGGAGATAACGATGATGTTGACGATGTTGACGATGTACCGTCCAGGACATCTGTCTGTTAGACACTCCTCCTCCTCTGATGATGATAAGGTTGACGATGTTGACAACGACGTTGTTGATGTACCGACCAGGAAATCTGTCCGTTGGGCACTCCTCCTTCTCCTCTGATGTTGATGATGTTGATGATGTTGACGATGTTGATGATGGTGATGATGTTGATGATGTTGACGATGTTGACGATGTTGACGATGTTGACGACGACCTTGATGATGAAGATGCTGACGATCATGTTGACAATGACGTTGACGATCATGTTGACAATGACGATGTCGACGACGATGTCGACCGTCCAGGACATCTGTCTGTCCGACACTCCTCCTCCTCCTCTGATGACGATGATGATGATGATGTTAACGATGTTGATGATGATGATAATGTTAACGATGTTGACGACAATCTTGATGATGAAGATGCTGACGATCATGTTGACAATGACGTTGTCGACGACGATGTCGGCCGTCCAGGAGATTTGCCTGTCCGACACTCCTCCTCCTCTGATGATGATGATGATGATGTTGATGATGATGTTGACGATGTTGACGACAACTTTGATGATGATGATGCTGACGATGATGTTGACGACGTTGTCGATGTACCGACCAGGAGATCTGTCCGTTGGGCACTCCTCCTTCTCCTCTGATGTTGACGATGTTGACGATGTTGATGATGTTGATGATGTTGACGACGTTGTCGATGACGATGTCGACCGTCCAGGAGATCTGTCTGTCGGACACGCCGCTGGTGCTGACACTGGTGGACGGCCCCACGGGCGAGAACGACAACGTGCTGTGCGTGGCCTACCGCCACCAGTTCGACCTCGTCAGCGAGAGCACCGGCGAGTGCCACCGCCTGCACACCGTGGACGCCAGCAAGGTGAGGCACACCGCCACCGTCACTGCCACCGTCACCATCACCACCATAACCACCATCACCATCGCCGCCACCACCATCACCATCACCACCATCACCACCATCGCCACCCTCACCGCCACCGCCACCATCAACACCATCACTGCCACTACCACCACCACCATCACCACCATCACCACCGCCATCATCACCACGGTCACCGCCACCATCAACACCATCACCGCCACTGTCAGCACCGTCACCACCATCATCACCACCGTCACCGCCACCATCAACACCATCACTGCCACTACCACCACCATCACCGCCATCACCACCACCACCACCACCATCGCCACCCTCACCACCATTACCGCAATCACCACCATCACTACCATCACCGCCACCATCACCATCACCGCCACCCACCACCATCACCACCATCGCCATCACCACCATCATAGCCACCATCAATCACTGCCATCACCTTCATCGCCACCGCCTGCACAACATCGACGCCAGCAAGGCAAGAGTAATCGTCATCATCATTGTCATCATCATCATTGTCATCACCATCAACATCGTCATCATCATCATTGTCATCATCGTCATCATCGTCATCATCATCGTCACAATGATCATCATCGTCATCATCATCATCATCATCCTTGTCATCATCGTCATTACCGTCGACCTCATCGACGCTGAGTGCCACCGTGCGTCTCTCCCAGGTGAACTTTGTCGCCGCGATTGATCTCTACGAGGATGGCGAAGCTGGCTTGCTCATTTGCTTCAACTGTGAGTTCCTCCTCCTCCTCCTCCATCATCACCATCATCACCATCATCATCACCATCATCATCACCATCATCATCACCATCATCATCACCATCATCATCACCATCATCATCACCATCATCATCACCATCATCATCACCATCATCATCACCATCATCATCATCACCATCATCATCATCACCATCATCACCACCATCATCACCATCATCATCACCACCATCATCACCATCATCATCACCATCATCACCATCATCACCATCATCATCACCACCATCATCACCATCATCATCACCATCATCATCACCATCATCATCACCACCATCATCACCATCACCACCATCACCACCATCATCATCACCATCACCACCATCATCATCACCATCATCACCATCATCACCATCATCATCATCATTATCATCACCATCATCATCACCATCATCATCACCATCATCATCACCATCATCATCATCACCATCATCATCATCATCATCACCATCATCATCATCACCATCATCACCATCA